ACTTCATTTCTGGGACAAACATTTATTTTGTCTTACCTATGATTGGAATGAAATTTTATAAGTTGTGAGTAACCCTAAATGATTCTGAACAAATAAATACACATGTGCACAATGACTGGGTTCTAAACATGACAGACATATGTATGACACAGTGGTCTCCAAAGTGGGATTTGTCTACTTTGAAGAATACCAATCAAAACATCGAGGGATACAAGAGATGATCTACTGGAGTAAGGGGAGAAACTATGGAAACTTTTCTATAAATTTTGTCTTTTATAGCTAGGTGCAGTGGCTCATGCCTATAATACCATCAACTAGGGAGGCTGAGGTAGGCGGATCGCTTGAGGCCAGGAGTTTGAGACTAGCCTGGGTAACATAGCGAGACCTCATCTCTAAAAACGTTATGAAAAACTAGCTGGGCATGGTGCCATGTGCCCTGTGGTCTTAGTGACTGGGGAGGCTGAGGCAGGAGGATCACTTGAGCCCAGGAGTTGGAGGATGCAGTGAGTTATAATTTATGCCAATGCACTCCAGCCTAGGCAACAGAATGAAACTCTATCTCCTAAACAAAAAAAAAAAAACAACAAAAAAAGTATCTTATCTTCTCATAATGTCTACTTTTGAATTTGTTTTATAACACATATAACATGATAGTATATATAAAGTTTATAAATAAGTACATGTTGAAAATTTTGTACTGAAAGGAAGTGTGATCAAAAACATTTGGAGACCAATGGCAAACTATTCATTTAAAGGCCTTGAAATAGTCTTAGCAATATGGTAGTGTTATATATTCATAATGTATTTAAGAGGGGGATGGATGGATAAGAGAGTATTTATATACAAACATACACAATATTAGATGGGTTATAGTCCTAGCACTATCTCTTACCTTCTTCTGTAATCCTGGACAAGTTACTTAATCAATCCTGGCCTGATTTTCTTCATCTCAAGTACGGGGATTGGGCTAAGTTGAGGTTTTCATACGTGTGCTCAGTGGTACTCCAGAGCTCCCCTAAGTCCCTGCAGAAGTACGAGGAAGGGTAGACTATAGGTGGGCTCCAGCCTTACTACAGATGCTTCCCAACTTATAATGGGGTTATATCCCAATAAACTCATTGTAAGCTGAAAATATTATAAGTTGAAAATGCATTTAATACACCTAACCTATAAACATCATAGCTTAGTCTAGCTTACCATAAACATGCTCAGAACACTTACATTAACCTATAGTTTGGCAAAATCATCTAACACAAAACCTATTTTATAATAAAGTGAGTATCTTATGTAATTCATTGAATATAGTACACTGTACAGTATTATCTTCCTGATTGCTGCCACTGCCCAGCATCACTAGAAAGTATTGTTCCACATACCTCTAGCTCTAGAAAAGATCAAAATTCAAAATTTGGCCAGGTTTGGTAGCTCAAGCCTGTAATCCTAGTACTTTGGGAGGCCAAGGTAGGAGGATTACTTGAGGCCAGGCGTTAGAGAACAGCCTGGGCAATATAGCAAGACCCCTTCCCTACAAAAGAAATTTGAAAATTACAAAGGCTGGTGATATCCACCTGCAGTCTCAGCTACTCAGGAGGCTGAGGTAGGACGATCACTTGAGCCCAGGAATTGAGGTTATAGTTACCTATGCTCACACCACTGTACTCAAGCGTGGGCAATAGAATGAGACCCTGTCTCTAAAAAAATTTTAAAAACATTCAAAATTCAAAGTACAGTTTCTGCTGAATGCATATGACTTTAGTATCATCATAAGCTGTAAGTCAAATCATCATAAATCAGGGACCTTCTGTATATTGCTTCATCTATAGTACGTAGCTGCTGGTATAGATCAAACAAATAGGGTAGGAACTAAGAGGTTTAGGGGTAGGGGAGGGCCATAGAAGAAAAAAGAAAAGAAAAGAAGAAAAAAGAAAAGAAAAGCAAAAATACAAGAAAAGAAAGCCACTGGGTTAGATCACCTTTTAAGATCTCTTTCCAGTGTAAGGAAGTATAAGTCTTCAATTAAAGGGAAAATAAAATTGTGGCATTAAAAATCTCTGGTATTAAAAACAACAGCCTTTTTTTTTTTTTTTTTTTTTTAGACAGGTTCTCACTCTGGTGCCCAGGCTGGAGTGCACTGGCACCATCATAGCTCACTGAAGCCTGGAAGACTGGAACTCCTGGGCTCCAGGGATCCTCCTGCCTCAGCCTCCCGAGTAGCTGACGAGAACCACTGCACTCAGCTCAACAGCCTATTTTAACAAGACTATGTAAATATAAATATAGCTGATATAAAATTCCTGTGAGAGCCAAACATGTGGAAAGATGATACTGATATATCTGATGCAAAATGTAAGGCTACACTATTAAGGATCTGACATCTCAGCTGGCTTTTACTTGAATTAACTTTTGTCAATCACAGGTATAACTCTTAACAGTGACTATTTTATTCGAAAATTTTTTTATCAATTTACTAATTCATGTGATCAGTTTAACTAGTTAACAGAAGGAAACCAGAAAAGATCCCAAAGAGAGTAGGAAGAACTAGTAGAACAGTAAAACTCCACAGTGCCCGTAGTTGAATGGTTGCAGTTGAGCAGCTCTGGTAATAACACATTTAAAATTTCCAGGGTAAAATATTTTGAAATACAAATTCGAAATTTGGCTGCCCTATTCTGAGCAAATATTTAAATTCTGTTTAGTTTCTAAAATTAGCTGTATTTGGCCTTTGGGATTCTGTAATTGGTATTTTCTTGTTAGTTGTATTTACATAAAAAACTAAGAACATCTTATTTATTTCACTACTCTGCTGGATTTTCCCTCCTCCCTCGACTTTCCTCAGGAAAAGCAACAGCTTATGCTAACAATGCATGCATGCATGCTGGGCTGTGGAAACAACGGTTTTAAACTCTATATGTCATAATGTCATTTGAGTAATGGCAACCAGAAACCACTCTTACAGCCCTCTTACCTTCTTCAAGGCTGTATTTTGCAATTAGGTTCTGAATTATGTCGTGGGTGGAGACAGTTATTCATGAGTAAAGTTTGGAGCCTACCTACCACCCTGACTCTGCATAAAAGCAAGACAAACCTTCCAAAAGGCTTTACCGTTGCTCGCAACATTCAATACCATTCTGTTCATTTTAAAAATCCATCCCTCATCACGCACTCTGGTTTGAAATGTTTTCAATTTACACATACAAAGATACAGGTCACCCTTAAACTGTTTTGTTCCTGTCTCCGTTAAAAAAGAAGACTAGAAGGCC